CAAGTTCCTTGGTGTCCACATCACCAACAAACTATCATGGTCCAAACACACCAAGACAGTCGTGAAGAGGGCACGACAAAGCCTATTCCCCCTCAGGAGACTGAAAAGGTTTGGCATGGGTCCTCAGATCCTTAAAAAATGATACAGCTGCACCATCGAGAGCATCCTGAACCCCCACCCCCACCCCCCACCCCATCTTTTTACGCTGCTGCTACTCTGTTAATTATTTATGCATAGTCACTTTAACTCTACCCACATGTACATATTACTTCAACTACCTCAACTAGCCGGTGCCCCCGCACATTGACTCTGCACCGGTACCCCCTTGTATATATAGCCTCCCTACTGTTATTTTATTTTACTTCTGCTCTTTTTTTCTTAACACTTTTTTCGTTGTTGTTTTATTTTACTTTTTTTATAAAAAATAAATGCACTGTTGGTTAAGGGCTGTAAGTAAGCATTTTACTGTAATGTCTGCACCTGTTGTATTCGGCGCATGTGCCCAATAAAATTTGATTTGATTTGATTACACAGGTGCACCTTGTGCTGGGGACAATAAAAGGCCACTCTAAAATGTGCAGTTTTGTCACACAACACAATGTCACAGATGTCTCAAGTTTTGAGGGAGCGTGCAATTGGCATGCTGACAGCAGGAATGTCCACCAGAGCTGTTGCCAGATAAAATAATGTTCATTTCTCTACCATAAGCCACCTCCAAAGTCGTTTTAGAGAATTTGGCAGAACGTCCAACTGGCCTCTCAATCGCAGACCACTTGTAACCACGCCAGCCCAGAGCCCAGAACCTCCACATCAGGCTTCTTCACCTGCGGGATGGTCTGAGACAAGCCACCCGGACAGTTGATGAAACTGTGGGTTTGCACAACCGAAGAATTTCTGCACAAACTGTCAGAAACCGTCTCAGGGAAGCTCACCTCCCTGCTCGTCGTCCTCACCAGGGTCTTGACCTGACTGCAGTTCGGCGTTGTAATCGACTTCAGTGAGCAAATGCTCACCTTCGATGGCCACTGGCACGCTGGAGAAGTGTGGTCTTCAGGGATGAATCCCAGTTTCAACTGTACCGGGCAGATGGCAGACAGCGTGTATGGTGTCGTGTGGGATAGTGGTTTGTTGATGTTAACGTTGTGAACAGACTGCCCCATGGTGGCTTTGGGGTTATGGTATGTGCAGGCATAAGCTACAGACAACGAATACAATTGCATTTTATCAATGGCAATTTGAATGCACAGAGATACCGTGACAAGATCCTGAGACCCATTGTCGTGCCATTCATCCGCCGCGATCACCTCATGGTTCAGCATGATAATGCATTGCCCCATGTCGCAAGGATCTGTACACAATTCCTTGAAGCTGAAAATGTCCCAGTTCTTCCATGGCCTGCATACTCACCAGACATGTCACCCATTGAGCACATTTGGGATGCTCTGGATCAACGTGTACGACCGCGTGTTCCAGTTCCCGCCAATATCCAGCAACTTCGCACAGCCATTGAAGAGGAGTGGGACAACATTACACTGGACACAATAAACAGCCTAATCAACTCTATGCGAAGTACAGTGGGGAAAAAAAGTATTTAGTCAGCCACCAATTGTGCAAGTTCTCCCACTTAATAAGATGAGAGAGGCCTGTAATTTTCATCATAGGTACACGTCAACTATGACAGACAAATTGAGAGAAAAAAATTCCAGAAAATCACATTGTAGGATTTTTTATGAATTTATTTGCAAATTATGGTGGAAAATAAGTATTTGGTCACCTAGAAACAAGCAAGATTTCTGGCTCTCACAGAACTGTAACTGTAACTTCTTCTTTAAGAGGCTCCTCTGTCCTCCACTCGTTACCTGTATTAATGGCACCTGTTTGAACTTGTTATCAGTATAAAAGACACCTGTCCACAACCTCAAACAGTCACACTCCAAACTCCACTATGGCCAAGACCAAAGAGCTGTCAAAGGACACCAGAAACAAAATTGTAGACCTGCACCAGGCTGGGAAGACTGAATCTGCAATAGGTAAGCAGCTTGGTTTGAAGAAATCAACTGTGGGAGCAATTATTAGGAAATGGAAGACATACAAGACCACTGATAATCTCCCTCGATCTGGGGCTCCACGCAAGATCTCACCCCGTGGGGTCAAAATGATCACAAGAACGGTGAGCAAAAATCCCAGAACCACACAGGGGGACCTAGTGAATGACCTGCAGAGAGCTGGGACCAAAGTAACAAAGCCTACCATCAGTAACACACTACGCCGCCAGGGACTCAAATCCTGCAGTGTCAGACATGTCCCCCTGCTTAAGCTAGTACATGTCCAGGCCTGTCTGAAGTTTGCTAGAGTGCATTTGGATGATCCAGAAGAGGATTGGGAGAATGTCATATGGTCAGATGAAACCAAAATAGAACTTTTTGGTAAAAACTCAACTCGTCGTGTTTGGAGGACAAAGAATGCTGAGTTGCATCCAAAGAACACCATACCTACTGTGAAGCATGGGGGTGGAAACATCATGCTTGGGGCTGTTTTTCTGCAAAGGGACCAGGACGACTGATCCGTGTAAAGGAAAGAATGAATGGGGCCATGTATCGTGAGATTTTGAGTGAAAACCTCCTTCCATCAGCAAGGGCATTGAAGATGAAACGTGGCTGGGTCTTTCAGCATGACAATGATCCCAAACACACCGCCCGGGCAACGAAGGAGTGGCTTCGTAAGAAGCATTTCAAGGTCCTGGAGTGGCCTAGCCAGTCTCCAGATCTCAACCCCATAGAAAATCTTTGGAGGGAGTTGAAAGTCCGTGTTGCTCAGCGCCAGCCCCAAAACATCACTGCTCTAGAGGAGATCTGCATGGAGGAATGGGCCAAAATAACAGCAACAGTGTGTGAAAACCTTGTGAAGACTTACAGAAAACGTTTGACCTGTGTCATTGCCAACAAAGGGTATATAACAAAGTATTGAGAAACTTTTGTTATTGACCAAATACTTATTTTCCCACCATAATTTGCAAATAAATTCATTAAAAATCCTACAATGTGATTTTTAGGATTTTTTTCCCTCATTTTGTCTGTCATAGTTGACGTGTACCTATGATGAAAATTACAGGCCTCTCTCATCTTTTTAAGTGGGAGAACTTGCACAATTGGTGGCTGACTAAATACTTTTTTCCCCCACTGTAGATGTGTCACACTGCATGAGGCAAATGGTGGTCACACCAGATACTGACTGGTTTTTTGATCCACGCCCCTACATTTGTTTTTAAAGGTATCTGTGACCAACAGATGCATATCTGTATTCCCAGTCATGTGAAATCCATAGATTAGAGCCTAATTTATTTATTTAAATTGTCTGATTTCCTTATATGAACTGTAACTCAGTAAAATCGCAGAAATATGGATATGTTCGCAGAAAAAGTATTTTATTAATAAATGGTAAACCAAGTATGTTTGCTTTACAGAGCCTTTTTTTGTATCAGTTTTACAGTAAATTTCCTGCAGATTTAAAGCTAATTTCTTGTAATGTCACACGTTTTGCCATGACTTATGCCAGGTTAGTCTTACATCCACACCCTGGCTTAACCCTAACTATAGCCTCAACCCTAACCCTGATTGTCAGACATATCAGTCATTCAAATCAATGTGCAACACTTGTTTTTCACTTTGTTATAGGATAAATACATGATTTGTTATTTTTCCAACTTCCTGGCTCTGTTTCACTGAGCTGCCAGCTGGTGTTTAAAAAAAAAACTGGCATCTTGAAGTAGAACACACTGATAGAGATAGCTAGCTTATATATGAGAGTTTTAATTATCATGTTTTGCTATGGTGATATGGCAGGCCAACATAAGGAAACAAATGCTGGGGTAAAATGTTCTCCATAAGTTGGACACCCAATAAAAAGTGTTTCAGTTTTCAGAGCCACGCAATTTACACATTCAGTTTACGGTCACAGTTCAGAACAATAAGCATGCCTCAACTTTTGTCGGTTCATAGACTCTAAGGGGGAAATGTATTATTGCTAAATTAAAACATGTTGGCAAGCAAAATGTACTTTCAAATCACAACACATAACTTGCCAAATATCCCTGTTTGTCTATTATCAACTTGAACTTCACTAGTTGGAAAGCTGTATTAGGTGCCTTCTTTAAAGTACGCACATTAGGTGGGTGTAAGATGTATTGATGGCATATAAAAAAGTTTACAATTTCACAAGTCAAGACATCTTCTACATTTAAGGTTTTGAAAGGTCTAAACATAATGTTGTCATCAAAACATATCAAATTTGATTACGAAGGAATTATCATTGGCAACAATGCAGATAATTGTTGCTGTATTTTTCACTTTGCTTAAGGATTTATTGTATTGTAAAGCTGTTTTTAAAACCTAAACTATTCTACAACTTTGCACTTTTAAGGGTTATGGGTAGGCCATGGTGAAGAGGTAGGTCTTTAGTAGGTGGAACTGAAAGATGATGATGGACTCAGATGATGATGGACTCAGTCACAGATATAGCTGGAGGGAGGGAGTTCCAGATTTTATGACTTTGTGGCTGTGCCAGCTACACTCATAGAAAAGAAGGTGCTATCTAGAACTGAAAAGGGTTCTTCAGCTGTCCCTGGAGTAGAGGGTTGTACCTGGAGCCAAAAAGGGTAAAAATAAAATGTAAAGCCAAAAAGGGTTTGTAAGGGCGGCAGGTAGCCTAGCGGTTAGAGCACTGGGCTAGTAACCGAAAGGTCGCTGGTTCAAATACCCGAGCTGACAAGGTGAAAAATCTGTCTGTGCCCTAACTTGCTCCAGGGGTGCCGTACTACTATGGCTGATCCTGTAAAACAACACATTTCACTGCACCTATCTGATGTATGTGACCAAAAAATGTATATGAGTGTAGTGACCACTATGCAGAGCTAGAAACAGAATGTAAGCTCGCTGGATCAGGATGGTTTGTACAAGGTTAATGCAAATCAGCCTCTAGAGCAATATTCATGCTGAAAAACGCTAACCTGCAATTGGGGAAGACAAGGTGGCCTGCTGTGGTAGAACATAGTCAGCGTGTGGGTTGGTAGGGGAGAAGAAGGTCTGAGAGTCAAGGTGGTGGAGCACTTTGTAGGTCCGAAGGAAGATCTTGTATTCGATGCGGTGGGAGCCAGTGGAGTTCACAGAGGCTGGGGATGATGTGCTGCCAGGACCTATGGGTGAGAAGTTGGGCTGCAGAGTTCTGAACTATTTGAAACTTATGGATGGAGCTTGAGTTGATCCCGGGAAAGTAGACAGTTGCAATAGTCGAGTTGGGAGGAGATTAATGCATGTATGAGGGTTTCAGGGGCAGGACTGGAGAGGGAGGACCTGCTTTTGGCAATGTTGCAGAGGTGGGAGAATGAGAATTTGACAGTATGTCTGATGTGGTATTAGAAAGACTCCAGGATGACACCAAGGTTGTGTGAGTGGGGGGAGGGAGAGACAATGGTGTCATCAAGGGTGAGGTTGGCAACTTAGCTGATTGTGGTTTAGGTGCCAAAAGGAAAAAGTAACGTCAAAAATTATTGGCACCCTTGATAAAGATGAGCAAAAAATAAAAATAATTCAAATACTGAGCTATATTATATAAACAGATATTTTGGGAAATTATATTATTTTATACTAATACAATTGCTCAGAGAAAGATTTTGTTTAACAAGTGATACATATTTTTTCTCAAAGATACGTGTCACGTTCGTTGAGTACAGGATTGGACCAAGGTGCAGCGTGGAATGCATACATGTTTATTAACTAAGTTTAACACACGACAAAACAACAAAAGCAACGTGACGCTCACAATGGCTACACACAAACAAGCCAAACAAGAGTCAAGATCCCACAACATAGGTAGGCAAAATGGCTACCTAAGTATGAGCCCCAATCAGAGACAACGATCGACAGCTGCCTCTGATTGGGAACCACACCCGGCCAACATAGAACTACAATAACATAGAATCTACACATAGAAATTCACACCCTGACCAAACCAACCAAAGAAAACCGGGCTCTCAAGGCCAGGGCGTGGCAATACGGTACCTGTCAATTACTGGCAGCCCTAAAGATTCTTATAAATTAAATAAAAAATAATAATCTGCATTAACATTCTACTTTTTTAAACTAATCTCAGTTTAAGGAACTGTATCGTGGCCTTCCATGGCTTCATGTTTCACTAGGGTATACAAATTAGGTAACATGCATGTAAAATCCTTTTGTCATCCATCACCATGGGAAAAGGCAAAGAGCTCACAAACGAAAAGAGACAAATCGTTGTTGACCTTCATAAATCAGGTAATGGATATAAAACATTGCTAAAATTAAATGTACCACTATTAGGGCAACTATTAATATGTTTAAAACCACTGGACTTGCCTGGTATTGGATTCAAGTGTATCTTGTCTCTACGCACAGTGAGGAAGATGGTTCGAAGATGGTTCGCAAAGAAAAATCCAAGGGGCCAAAGTAAAGGGAGAATTACAGAACTTGGTCGTATCTTCAGGTCACCAAGTCTCCAAATCTACAATTACACGTCACCTCCATGCCAATAGGTGAATTGGAAGGGTTGCAGAAAAAAAGTATTTATTGAGAGCAAACAACAAATGTAAATGCCTGGAGTTTTCTCAACGGCATTGGCACTTGGATTGGAACCAGTGATATGGTGACATGACACGAAAATAGAGCTATTTGGCCATGCACACCAGTGATGGGTTTGGCATCAAAAGAAGGATGCATATGATATGCAGAAAATAACCTAATACCTACTGTAATATATGGTGGTGGATCTTTGATGTTATGGAGCTGTTTTGCTTCCACTGGTCCTGAGGCCCTTGTTAAGGTCAATGGCATCATGAACTATACCAAGTACCAGGACATTTAAGCAGTGGTGTGTATTCATGGGTGCCAAGGGAAGCCAGGCTTCCCCCAAAAATGTATCAAGAAAAAAAGAAAGAATAATGTATATTTTGTTTCTCTGTGTTTTCATAATTTTCCTTCAATTCACAAGAGGCTGAATGTATCTCACCGGAGAAAGCATCCAAGCGAGCGAAACAGCGCCCCTCTGTCACTGTATGTGTAGGCCATCTATCTGATTCTGTTTGGTCCAAAAGAGTATGACATTGTTGCCGCCCGTAGCATTGAATGCAAGGGAAGCCAGCGAATATTTGGCCTCCCTTGATAAAAAAGTATAAAATAAAAGCATATCAGAGTTGACGTAAACTGAGTGAGCTCAACTGTGAATGGTCCTGGCGCACATGGTGTGAAGGGAAGCCAGTTTGGATTTGGCGTCACTCTTATCAAATCGCATTGAGGGAATACATAATTGACAGAAACAACTTGAATTGTTACATCTCATTGTGTTGTTGTCCTCTGGTGGGTAGCTAGCTAGCTAAAATTGGCCCTTTCCTAAATTAGCAATTGATGGAGATAGGAATTTGGACTTCTTTTTACTTAATTCTCCGTACTGGCCAATGATTATAACGGTGATTCTGATCCAACCATTAATTCATACATTGTGTCCCTGACCTGAGAGGATGGAATTTCAATATGTAGCTAGATGTACAAGGCTAATGTTAACTAGCTAACATTGCCCATGAATGGAAGTTAGGCTAGCGTGCAAGCATTTAGACAACAAAATATTAAAGAGTGTACTGTATGACAAAGTGATAGGCAGTTTTGTCAACATGAAATAGAGGAGGATGGCATTGGCGTTTCTCTACAAGTAGGGTGAGTCAACATGTTTTTCTACTTGCACAAACACTCGCACACGCACATACAGAAAAAAAATAAAAGAAATAAAAAGAAAGCTAATATTAACTATTATCCCATGAAAGTTGCCCATGGAAGGAAGTTAGGCTAGCTAGCAAGCATTTTAGCCAGGTAGCCTAGGACAAGAAAAAATAAAAGCATGTACTGTATGACAGAGTGATCGAATGTTTCCTCAACATGAAAGAGAGAAGCCTAAGTGTTGTTGTCAATTAGTTTACTCCAATTGGGGGAGGTATGGTAGGGTTAGGGGAAAATAATAAAGGAAAATATAAAAATATATACAGTACCAGTCAAAAGTTTGGACACACCAACTCATTCAACAGTTTTTCTTTATTTTTACTATTTTCTACATTGTAGAATAATAGTGAAGACATCAAAACTACGAAATAACACATATGGAATCACGCTGTAACCAAAAAAGTGTTAAACAAATCAAAATATATTTTAGATTTTAGATTCTTCAAAGTAGCCACCTTGATGACAGCTGTGCACACTCTTGGCATTCTCTCAACCACCTTCATGAGGAATGCTTTTCCAGCAGTCTTGAAGGAGTTCCCACATATGCTGAGCACTTGTTGGCTGCTTTTCCTTCACTCTGCGGTCCAACTCATCCCAAACCATCTCGGGTGATTGTGGAGGCCAGGTCATCTGATGGAGCACTCCATCACTCTCCTTATTGGTCAAATAGCCCTTACACAGCCCGGAGTTGTGTTTTGGGTCATTGTCCTGTTGATAAACAAATGATAGTCCCACTAAGCGCAAATCAGATGGCATGGCGTATCGCTTTTTTTGTTTACTACATGATTCCATATGTGTTATTTAATAGTTTTGATGTCTTCACTATTAGTTGACAATGTAGAAAATAGTAAAAATAAAAAAATAACTTGAATGAGTAGCTGTGTCCAAACTTTTGACTGGTACTGTAAGTATTCAGACCCTTTGCTGTGAGACTCGAAGTTGAGCTCAGGTGTATCCTGTTTCCATTGATCATCGTTGAGATGTTTCTACAACTTGATTGGAGTCCACCTGTGGTAAATTCAGTTGATTGGACATGATTTGGAAAGGCACACACCTGTCTATACAAGGTCCCACAGTTGACAGTGCATGTCAGAACAAAAACCGAGCCATGAGGTCGAAGGAATTGTCCGTAGAGTTCCAAGACAGGATAGTGTCAAGGCGCAGATCTGGGGAAGGGTATGGAAAATTTCTGCAGCATTAAATGTACCCAAGAACACAGTGGCCTCTATCATTCTAAATGGAAGAAGTGTGGAACCACCAAGACGCTTCCTAGAGCTGGCCGCCTGGCCAAACTGAGCAATTGGGGGAGAAGGGCCTGGGTCAGAGCGGTGACCAAGAACCTGATGGTCACTCTGACAGAGCTCTAGAGTTCCTCTGTGGAGATGGGAGAACCTACCAGAAGGACAACCATCTCTGCAGCACTCCATCAATCAGGACTTTATGGTAGAGTGGCCAGACCGCAGCCACTCTTCAGTAAAAGGCACATGACAGCCCGCTTGGAGTTTGCCAAAAGGTACCTAAAGACTCTCAGACCATGAGAAACAAGATTTTCTGATCTGATGAAACCAAGATTGAACTCTTTGGCCTGAATGCCAAGTGTCATGTCTGGAGGAAACATGGCCCCATCCTTATGATGAAGAATGGTGGTTGCAGCATCATGCTGTGGGGATGTTTTTTCAGCGACAGGGACTGGGAGACTAGTCAGGATCGAGGGAAAGATGAACGGAGCAAAGTACATAGAGATCCTTGATGAAAACCTTCTCCAGAGCGTTCAGGACCTCAGACTGGGGCGAAGGTTCACCGTCCAACAGGACAACGACCCTAAGCACACAGCCAAGACAACGCAGGAGTGGCTTCGGGACATGTCCCTGAATGTCCTTGAGTGGGCCAGCCAGAGCCTGGACTTGAACCCGATCTAACATCTCTGGAGAGACCTGAAAATAGCTGTGCAGCGACACTCCCCATCCAACCTGACAGAGCTTGAGAGAATCTGCAGAAAGGAATGGGAGAAACTCCCCAAATACAGATGTGCCAAGCTTGTAGCGTCATACCCAAGAAGAATCAAGGCTGTAATCTCTGCCAAAGGTGCTTCAACCAAGTACTGAGTAAAGGGTCTGAATACTTATGTAAATGTGATATTTCTGTTTTTTTTATTTTAATAGGTGTCCTTAATGTTCTGTACACTCAGTGTATTGACATAGTAAAATACAAATAGCTTTTAGAGTTTACACAAATTTCTGATATGGAAATGGTGGCTTTTCTTTGTGGAATATTATCTTAAATGAAAATGTATTCAGGGATTTACTTTTTTGCCCCTTGTACTGTTCTTTCCAGACATTAGTACTTGGACAACTGGCCACTGTGTCACTTTCAAGTGTATATTCTTCTGAGTCACTTTCATCTTGAGTTATCTTGTTATTGGCTCGAACAGTTTCAGATTAGAACGAAATGCCGCCATTTGCTGGACCCTTTCGTTGGTCAGCCTGTCACACACCTTAAGAAAAGATGCGTACAATACATACAACACCAATAAATACACAAATACACAGAGACAATAAAACCAGCACATCATCAATTCATTATATAAACTAAAATTACCTTGGTGTGCGCAATCCCAAAGAGTGACCAATTGTGCTCCAATGTGGCAGATGTAGGTGGTATCTGCAGTATGACTGCAATGGAGGACAAGGCTTCAAACCCGCAGAGTACCTTCCACCAGGTTGACGCAGAGATGTGTTCAGCGGAAGTCCAAATCCAATCATCTTACCACTGACCATCCTACGTCCTGAATTTGGCAAAACTCCCCAGAACCTTTCCCTCATCCAGCTGAAGGTGTGCCATGGCTGAAGTCATGTTGTATGCTGACATTATCTGCTCCGCAGATTTCCAGTAAAATACCATCCCTTTGCAATCCTAGTCATATCAAATTGAAGTACTTAGCTAATGAGCCAGTGATATGGCTTTGTTAATTGACCCTAACGAGCTTTGGGAGAATTATGTTCACTAACACGTTACTTGGATATTCTGTAGAGCGTCTACAGATGGACTATCAGTAACATTTCAACTATCTACTAACCAGTGGCGGTCAGTGCTGTTTAAGATGAGGGAGGATAATATTTTTTTTCATGAGCATGGCCTTATTTCTATTACAGCATATTGGATGACTGTCATTCATATTCCATTCACCCAGTTCAATGTAACAGCGATAGGTTTAGGCTACTACATGATACTCAAATGTTCCCTATACCCATCATGAGGTTGATACAACATAGCCTATTAATGACAGTTTTACAACGTAGGTGCACACAGGTCGAGAGACACATTTGAGGTGACAGACAGTGACACATGGACAGACAGTGACATTCAATACCGCCTTGCACACTCTTGCCTGCATCTAGCTGATATAGCGTGTCCAACAGCTGCAGACGAGAGTTTCTATTGGACAAATTCAGGTATTTTTATCCCTGTTTTGTTCCGTTTGCTTCCGTTTAAGAAACGTTTGAATACACCTCTGATCACGCGTAAACACAGTTCACATTCATAGCAGCCACATTGTATTCCTTCTCGCATCTATGCGCTCTCCTCCTCTCACCTCTTCCCTTCACTTGTGGACTTCAATGCGTAACACATCAGCTGTATGTGACCAGAAGAAAAAACCTTTCCAAGCCGAACCGCTACACACAGCCTACATCGTTGTCACCATATTAGCTAAAGTAATGTCATAGTCAGCATAGCTAATAAAACTAACGCGTTACTAAACCCACTACAATCATGCAGTAATGTTACAGTGTATAGTCAGTAAGCAGTTACACCGGCTGGCCCCGGTGGCAATAAATTAGTAAAACCAAAAGCTTACCTTGACTTGGAAGAGTTCCAGTGTTGTGTTGGAAAGTCATAGCCAGGGTGTTTCAGTAGGCTAAACTAGCTAGTTGCATTTGCTAGCTAAGTAAGTGAACTGAAAGTTTTTAAAAAATGACAATTTCTCTCTCTCTCTCTATTTCTCTCTTGCTTCTCCTTCATTTTGGAAGAAATGTGTTTCTTCAAAACTGTTCAACTACTGTCTTTCTCTCTCTTTGAGTCAACTACTCACCGCATTGTATGTACTGCAGTGCTAGCTAGCTGTAGCGTATGCTTTCAGTACTAGATTAATTCTCTGATCATTTGATTGGGTGGACAACATATCAGTTCATGCTGCAAGAGCTCTGATAGGTTGGAGGACGTCCTCCGGAAGTTATCATAATTACTGTGTAAGTCTATGGAAGGGGGTTAGAACCATGAGCCATTAACTTTGCATTGAAGTTAATGTACCCAGAGGAGGATAGAAGTTAACTGTCCTCCGGCTACACCATGGTGCCACCCTACAGAGTGCTTTTGAGGTTACTGTAGACCTTCTTTGCAAATTAGTGTGTTTTAATCAATTATTTGGTGATGTGATTATATTTAGTATAGTTTTATCTAAAAATGATAACTTTTTAAATGTTTTACTATTTTTATTTGCATGAAATTCACTAAGGAGGATGGTCCTTCCTCCTCTGAAGAGCCTCAACTGCTACTAACTCTAACCCTAGCCCTAACCCTAACTTTAACCCCTACCCTAGTTCTAACCTTAACCTTACTCTAAACCTAACCCTAACCGTAACCGTAACCTTAGCAAGCAGTTGCTTATCAACAGATCTACAGATGGACAATCCGGACTATCCAAATAAAGTGTGATCCCTTAAGGTGGAGAGAGGTTAGAGGTCAGCATAAATAGGTTAGGTTTTTCTCCTAGCAGAACTTGGCTAGGCGAAGCGACCGTCTGTGCTCGCATACTCCCTAAAGACTTTCACTTTAGTCACCATAGCAACAACATAGCCAGAAACACTTTTCTAGATAAATCAAGAAATCTGTAATAAATGTTGACGTTTTTGCAGAGGTCTTTCTAGATCTAACTAAGATGTTTGATGCAGTATGTGTGAAGTGAATGATAACAAACACTTAATTGAACAATCCTGTCCATAGTTCCCACTCCTACTAGGAGTGAAACTGTTGATCAATCACAGATGAAGGGCTACTGAACTTCGACTTGCCTCTAGAAAAATGCGAACAGCCGGAAGAAAACCCTGCCGTAGACCAAAACGAACAAAATGTCACAACATTTCGTCATAATATATGAATGAACTGTTTCGACTGGGAAGCATACGGTAAGCCTTGAGACTACAAGTATCACCAATGCCAGAGTTAATTTCTCAACCACTTTGTGGTATATTGAATTCCAATACTGCATTTCCTCTCACAGTAAAGAAAACATTTCACAGGAGGATTTGATATGTATGTTAAGGAAGCCTATGGGATATTATTACCAGCATAACAAAGCCATCTGTGCCATGATATTGCCCTTACAGGAACAAAGACTAGATCTTTTATTTATTAAACCACGTGTGTACATTCCCTATAGAAACGCACATAATCATAAATATTTTAGCACATTCATAGAAGCGTTTTGTTTCACCCAAACATGATTTGAAAACCAATACTTTCCCCTCCACTAGTCCTTGAGATTGTCTCTGTCTCCCATCATATCTTGAGTACTGGTGTGTTCTCTCAGCCCACACACTCGATACGGGCAAATATTGATCCTCAAAATTACTCCCCAAGGTCAGAGGACTTGAGAAGAGCTGTCAGAGCTTTGTAGGAGATATTATGTGTTAGACCCCTTTACCTTTCTTAGCATTGCCTTACGGTAGCATTCAACATATGTACAATATACAAAAAGTAATACTAATCTACAGCATTTCTCAAGTTTCTCGTGCCTGGAATTGGAAATACACTGGTCCTGCTGTGTTTTGTGTATTTCCTACATATACTGTACTTTGCTCCATTGCTCCTTTTGAAATGAAGTCTCTCCCATGATGAGTCTACAAATAAGAGATTTCATATTTTCTTAGAATGTAATACCTGAGGAACATTTCATGCATGTAACAGGCTAGCTTGAGACTAACTTACACTAGAAGACAGAACCTCATTTTCCAACACGTTTGTTCACAAAACTAGAAGACAGATAACAAGGAATTCAGTGTTGGGGAATAGTGAACTACATGTAATTCAACTAGTAATTAAACTACATTTTGCAGTAGCTTGGTGGTAGTTGAACTAAATTAAAATCTTGGAAGTGTTTTCAGTATTAAATTACTTTTTCAGTGGTGTAAAATACTTAAGTAAAAATAATTTAAAGAACTACTTAAGTAGTTTTTTGGGTATCTGTACTTTACTTTACTCTTTATATTTTTGTACAACTTTTACATTCCTAAAGAAAATAACTTCCCCTGACACCAAAAAGTACTCTTTACATTTCAAATGCTCAGGCAGGACAGAATTATGGTCCAGTTCACGCACCTATCAATATAACACATTGTCATCCCTACTGCCTCTGATCTGACGGACTTACTAAACACAAGTACTGAGTTTGTAAATTATGTCTGAGTGTTGGAATGTGCCACTGTCTGTCTGTAAAAAAAAAAAAAAAAAAAAAATTGTGTCATCTGATTTGCTTTATATGAGGAATTTGATGTATAGCATTTACTTTTACTTTGTACTTTTACTCAAGTATGACAATTGAGTATTTTTTCCACCACTGTACTTAAGTATACAGTGGGGGAAAAAAGTATTTAGTCAGCCACCAATTGTGCAAGTTCTCCCACTTAAAAAGATGAGAGAGGCCTGTAATTTTCATCATAGGTACACGTCTACTATGACAGACAAAATGAGAAGAAAAAAAATCCAGAAAATCACATTGTAGGATTTTTTATGAATTTATTTGCAAATTATGGTGGAAAATAAGTATTTGGTCAATAACAAAAGTTTCTCAATACTTTGTTATATACCCTTTGTTGGCAATGACACAGGTCAAACGTTTTCTGTAAGTCTTCACAAGGTTTTCACACACTACTTATTTTCCACCACAATTTGCAAATAAATTCATTAAAAATCCTACAATGTGATTTTCAGGATTTTTTTTCCCTCCATTTTTCTGTCATAGTTGACGTGTACCTATGATGAAAATTACAGGCCTCTCTCATCTTTTTAAGTGGGAGAACTTGCACAATTGGTGGCTGACTAAATACTTTTTCCCCCCACTGTATTTAAAACCAGATACTTTTAGACTTTTACTCAAATAGTACTTTACTGGGTGACTTTTACTTTTACTTGAGTCATTTTCTATTATTAAGGTATCTTTAGTTTTACTCAAGTGTGACAATTGAGTACTTTTTCAACCACTGACTTTTTTGCCATGTAGTGCTGTAGCCAACTACTCGAACTATACACTACTTTTTTTTTACAAAATGAAAATAAAACATGGCAATAATTTCCTTTCTTTTTTCGCATGAGACCTGCCTGATTCTCACTTAAAACATGTTTTTTTGTGTTTAATATGCTAAATTACACATTCTGTTAGCATTGGACCAGAGTGATCTGTCTTGCAATTAAAATTCTCTGAAATGTCTGATTTAGATGTGATAATTTTCCACAATGTAGTTTGGATGTAGTGAAGTACTTTCTCAAAGTACCTTTAGTTAAGTAAACTATATTTTTCTTAAGGCTAGCTTTAATGTAGCTTAACTTATTCCAGTGTGAAGTAATTGGTAGCTTGGTGAACTATATTTTTCAGAGTAGCTTCCCCAACACTGAAGGAATGGGAACTGATTGAGGTTCATGTTCAGAATGAGACCTGAGTCACGTCTGCACCTGTAACTTACATTACAATGAATCTCTGTTTTGGTTCTCAGTGGCCTCCATT